AATTAAAAAAAAGGAATATACATATGACAGAAATTATCAAATACTATAAATGTTACAAGCGATCCTATCAGAGAGCTGTGGATTAAACATTTATCACCATAAAAAAAAAAAAAAAGAGTAATGGCTCACACATGGAATCCTAGCACCCGTGATTCTGAGGAACCCTGGACTACATAGTAAGTTCCAAGCCACCCTGGGCTTTCAGTGAGTTCCTGTTTGAAAATGAAAAAGAACCCAGTTTGGTGACACAGGTCTATAATCCTGGCTATTTGGAAGGCTGAAATGGCGATTGAAACTGAAACTTTCCTGGACTACAAAAAGTTCAAAGCCAGCCTGAGCAATTTAGAAAGACCTGTCTCAAAAATAAAAGACTAAAGGACTGGGAAGTATGAGGAACAGGGTTTAGACCCTTAGCACCCAGGTTAAAGATGGGTGGGTGTGAAAGACGGCTGGCAATTTCAGCATTTGGGAGACAAGACAGGGGACTCCTGGAGCAAACTGGTTAGCGAGACTAGCCAAACTGGGCAGTGGGGTGTGTGTGTCCAGACTCACCAAGAGACCCTGCCCTGATATATGTGGTGGAAAACAGCTGAAATCAACCTCATGCTCTAACATGTATGAATGCATTCACTCATGACCACATGTGTCAACTCACACGAAAGCACAGCCACACACATGTACTTCTGGTAGGATTGAGGCAGGAAGATCAGGAGTACAAGATCATTCCTGAGAGCAAATTCAGGGCCAGCCAAGGCTGAGCAAAACTCTATCAAAAAACAAAACTAAACAAAAAAACCAGCAACTGCCTCCCCCAACAAACAAATAACCCACTTTTTATTACTTATTTTGTTATTACTTTTTATTACTTATGTTTTTTTTTTCAGACAGGGTCTCTCTACATAGCCCTGACTATCCAAGAACTCACTATGTGGACCAGGTTGAACTTGAACTCACAAAGATCTACCTACCTCTGCCTCCCAAGGGCTGGAATTATAGCCTGTTTTACCACACTCAGCGTAATAAAAAGTAATTTCTTGTTGGCATGGTGGCGCACATGTTTAATCCCAGTGCTCAGAAGGTAGAGCCAGGTTGATCTCTGTGAGTTCAAGGCCAGCCTTGTCTACAAAGTGAGTTCAGGGACAGACTAGGGCTAGAGAGAAACAGAGAAACTCTGTCTCAAAAAAATAAAACAAACAAAAAAGCAATTTCTTAAACAAAAGAATAAACTTCCCAGCAGGTCCAGGACTCTGGATGCAATCTTCCCTGTAATCCCTGCCTCCTTCATACAAAAAAATTAGCAAGTACTGTTAAGGATGTGGACATTTTTAACTTCCTTTTTACTGTTGTTGGGAGCTTAAAATTATGCAGCCTTTATGAGAAACAGCATGGAAATTCTTCCCAACAATAAAAAGAGAGTTTATCACATGATTCCCCATGTCTGCTTCTGGGTATACACTCCAAACCACTGAAGACAGGGACTAGAGAAGCATGTGCACATGTATGTTCCCCCTAAATGATTTAGGGTAGCTAAGAGAGTGAGCCAAATGTTAATAAACAGAAGAATGGAGGAAGAGATGCAACCGCAGTCAGACTGAGCAGTGGCTCAAGCTGGCTCCAGCACACAGGAGATTGATACAGTAGGATTTCTGTCTGTGGAGACAGCCTGGGCTACATAGTGAGACTGGACATTAAAAGAAGAAAAAAAGAACACACACACACACACACACAGAATGCCATCCTATGAAGGTTCACATAAAGTTATACATACAAAAATGTGAGGCACTGTTCTCAGCCAAGGAGACTACTAAGAATCTTGGCACATGTTGAACATGGATCAACCTTGAGAACCTTTAATTAATCAGTCATGAAGTGGGCAAGGTGGCATGGGCCTTTAGTTCCAGCATTGGGGAAGCAGAGGCAGTAGGATCTCTGTGAGTTTCAGACCAGCCAGGGGTACATAGGAAGACCCTATCTCATAAATAAATAGATAAATAAATAACCACTCACAAAGGGGCAAATATTTTATGGTTCTATTCATAGGATGTATCTAAAGTAAGTGAATTCATAGAAACACCGCTAGGCTGTGTAGTCCAGTGTAATCGTTACTTTTCTGTTGACGTGATAATAAGCCCTGGAGGATAGCAACTTAAGGGCTAGAGTGTAGCAGGAGCAGTGGGGCCACCTCTGTGTAAATGTCCTGGCCATGCAGCTGCAAAAGCATCTACTGAGGAGGACCCAGTTGAGGGCTGCCAGCCAAACGGGAACTGCTGTTTAGAAGAGATGCTTTCTTGGGACCAATGGGGTGCAGGTGGAGGGTATTAAAGGAGCTTGCAGCAGCGTTCAAGTGAGCTTGCTGCAGCGTTTCTCATCTACTCCTGGAGCCTGTGTCGTTAACTCCATGCCACCTCACCTCCAACCCCTAAGGGCAGGTAGGGTCAGGTATGAGTGGCCCAGGCAGGGCACAGGCAGCAGCAGAGGGCCTATGCTGACTTACAGTTCGAGATGAAAGTAAATCCTGGAAGGCACAGCTGCCCAGCTGCAAGCAGCTGAGCTCTTAGCACCTATAAGCAGACAGATGAATGTGCTCAGTTAAAGCTCTCCTTTTTTTTTTTTTTTAAGACAGTGTTTCCCTGTGTAACCCTGTCTGTCTTGGAACTCCCTCAAATTCACAGCTCTGCTCTCTGCCTCCCAAGTGCTGGGATCAAAAGCATGTACCACCACTAACTGGTTTCAATTACTACTCCAGTGGCTATAAGAATTATTTCCTTTCCTTTGGGTTGTTTTGTTTTACTTTTAAGTTAAGATTTACATGAATATACTGTAGCTAGCTGTCTTCAGACACACCAGGAGAGGGCAACAGATTCCATTACAGATGGTTGTGAACCACCATGTGGTTGCTGGGAATTGAACTCAGCACCTCTGCAAGAGCAGTCAGTGCTCTTAAGCACTGAGCCGTGTCTCCAGCTCTTGTGGATTCTTTTTTATGATACATTCTGATCACTGCTTATTCTGATGCTCGAATTGGGCAACATTCGACCAATGGGAGCCTCTTCAAGATAGACCCTATGTCCCCATCAGGGTTTCACGTTACGTTTCCTCCTGCCTCAGCCTCCCGAGCACGTAGATTTACAGGCATGTTGTACCACATCCAGTGCCATCAAAGCTTCAGTGTTTTCATGCTTCCTGACTGATGTAGTTAATGTTGATTATCAACTGGACAGGATCTACAACCACCCAGGAGACAGGCCTCTGGGAATGCCTGTGAGGGACTATCTAGATTATGTTGGTGTCTGGCTATGTCTGTGAAGGACTGTCTTGATTAGGTTCATTGAGGTGGTTAACATTCACCCTGAAAGTGAGAGCCATCCTTCCCTGGGCTCAGAACCTAGACTTGATCAAAAGGAGAAAGCTAACAGTTGAGCCCAAGCACTTCTCTGTTTCCTGATCGTGTATGCGGTGTTTCCGGCTGTCTCAAGTTCTTGCTTCTGCACCAGGATGCTCCGCACCCCTGAACTGAGAGCCAAACTAAACCCTGCTTTTTTTTTTTGAGGTATTTTATCAGAACAACAGGATCAAAGTTAGGTCATCAGGCTTGGGGGCAAGCCCTTCTACCGGCTGAACCATCTCACTGGCCACCAACAGGTATTAATATGAATACATTAGAGGATTTATTACAGATTTGACTCCATAAAGTCTGGTGGCTGAGGAGTTCTATTGTAGAGCAGAGGCCCTGAAATGCTGATGACATTGCTAAATTCGAGACTGAGAACTTCAGAACCAAGGAAACCAATGTAACAACTCACAGCTGCCTGTCAAAGCCTGAGACCCCTGGACATATCACCGGTTTAGATCTTGGAATCTGAAGGCACAAGGGCCTGGATTTCTGGTGTCCTGGGCAGGGGATAAACATACTCCAGCTCTCAGTGGGAACAAAGGGCCAATTCACTTGTGTCTTAGTTACGGTTTCTATTCCTGTGAAGAGACACCATGACCATATCAACACTTGCAAAGGAAAACATTCCATTGGGCTGGCTTACAGTTTCAGAGGTTCAGTCCATTATCATCATGGCAGGAAGTATGACAGAGTGTGGGCAGACATGGTGCTGGAGAGGGAGCTGAGAGTTCTACACCTAGATCAGCAGGCAGAAGACTGACACTGCTAGGGTTGAGAGTCTGAGACCTCAAAGCCTACCCCCTAATGATACACCTCCGCCAACAAAGCTATACTTCCTCCAATAAGGCCACACCTTCTAATAGTAACACTCCCCATGAGCCTAAGGTGCAATTTTATCCATACTATCACAGCCTATATTGTTCTCTCCCACTCCTATCCTACTGGACAGGGCCCAGCCACACTGAAGATGTACCTTCTAGTCCTCTCAGGCCCATATGTCAACTTTCTCTGGAAACACCCTCCAAAAATGCTTTTCGAAGCTCCTAGGTATTCTGTAATCTGGTCACTGCAGAGTTATTCCTACTAAAAACCTGATTTTTAGTTTACCTTTTGGCAATATTACATCAATCTTCATTAACCAACTTTAATGTGATTGTAGTTCCAAGTTAGATGCTAAGGAATGTATCCCATTCTTTCTGGTGCACAGATAGCACTAAATTAGTGTATGAGAAATCATGTGACCAAGGGAGTCAAAGGAGTAAGAATTTGGTGATTGAATGAAATAGGAGGTGGACCCTGGGTCTTTTCACCTGAGTCAAGTTAGGTCAATCTTGATTGATTTTGTTGTTTGTTTGGTTGTTGTTGGAAATGATTTTTATTTGAAACTCATGTGTCCATATTTTTACAAAAAAATCTTTTGTTTCTCTCTCTCTCTCTTTCTCTCTCTCCCTCCCTCCCCTCCCTCCCCCCTCCCTCCCTCCCTCCCTCCCCCCCCCCCTCTCTCTCTCTCTCTGTGTGTGTGTGTGATATGCTAGGTTTTGAACCCAGGGCCTCATTCACTGAGCTACAGCCCCAGATACAGGCCTTGCACTTAAGGCTATCCTTACCTGCCCTTAGAGGCACTGCAGGTGTGGCTGCTGTGCCACATGTGTCAGTAGGTGGCAAAGAGGACAGAGGCTATGTCTATGATCAGTGTTCTGACCTATGAACATCTGAATAATTATTAGCCTAACACTCCCTTTAAAAAAGTTAGCCTGAGATGACCACCAGTCCAGTGCCACGCAGGTGTGTAGGCGTGGGGTGAGGCAGACCATAGCCTAAATGACCCTTTCCCTGTGCTATAACGCACAAGTGGGGCATAGCAATCCTACAACCACTCCTGAGATGACCCCAGACACCCAGAGACCCTGGGAACCACTAAAAGGAGCAAGTCAGTGATGAAGAAATGAAGAGAAAGAGAAACAGAAGGATGTGGGCACAATGAAGAGAGGCAGAACTGAAGACCCGAGGGTAGTGAGGAACAGCCTGATGTGAGGAGCTGGTGGTGGCATCTGGGACCATGGTGGAGTCCTGACCTGTGCTGCCACCGGGGCCATATCTGGGTCTGTGGCCCTGCAGCTGGGGTCCGTTACCACCAAAGCCCAGGCGGATGTCCCTGGTCTTGGCTGCAGCCTGGGGACATGTTGATGTCTGCGAGCTGTGCAGTACTTGCCCCAGTCCCCCAACCCCTTCGGAAATGCGAGCTGACCCCACCTCTAGCCAGCTGCAGTACTCGAGAGAGCTGGCCCCTGACATTTTGGGAATTGAGGGTGAGCCTGCCCTGAGGATATGAGTGTGGAAGAGCTGGCCCTGTCACTTATCTCCCCTGTGATGTCATGGATGAGGGAAAGATGTCCTCCTCCCACCTTGCCTCTCACCACCTGCAGCAGGTGGGAGACCTGGCCTTGGGATCATGAGAAGAGAACTGCCTCTGCCTCTTATCAGCTGAAACACTCAGGAGAGCAGGCCCTAAACCTTACCTAGGCAGCATAGTAGACCTGACTCTGGTAGCAGGGGCACCAGTGAGCCAGCCCTGACAGCCAGAGTGCCTTTTGTTTGCTGTGGGGTGGCATCAGTGAGGGAGAGATCCCTTTGCTTCCCTTTGCCCTCACCACTGGCAGCAACTGGGAGAGCTGGCCCTGCCCCTCACCTGTTGCAGCGCTTGGGAGAGTGGGCCTTGTACCTTGCCTGGACAACACAGTAGAGCTGGCCCTGGACCTGAAGTTCACAGGAGCCCAAGGGCTTGAGTGCAAGAGAGCGGGCCTTGCCTCATCTGCTGGGTGGTGTTGAAGAGGGAGAAACACCCTCCTCTCCACCCTCATCTCTCACCGTCTATGGCAGGTGGGAGAACTGGTCCTGTCCCTTAAACAGCTGCATCACTCGGGAGAGTAGGCCCTGCCCCCTTGCCTGGGCAGCAGGGTAGAGCTGGTCCTGGTGTGGGGGTTGCAGGTGAGCCAGCCCTGAGGGTGTGAGAGCAGGAGAGCTGGCAGGCTGACCAGCTCAGAAACCTCTCAGGCCCAGATCCAGAGCTTTGAACTGGCCATCCCAACATGTACTCCATCAGTGAACTGCTGGAGTGCATGAAGGGGCCAGTCCTACAGTTCCAAATCTACAAGGTCTCCATGACACAGGGCAACAACAAAATATTCAAGAGGAGTCCCAGTGAGGTTCCAGTATTACAGAGCAGCAGAAGCCAGAGGCCTTGTACCAGACCAGCGAGTCTTTGCAGTGTACATTTGCACCGATAAAAGTGCATTCTGTGGGACACACTGTAGCTTCCACAATGAGACTCTTTTTTTCTCCATTGAGGGGAGGTTATGAGAGTGGAGGGCAGGTATGGGGCAAGATGGAGATGAGTGAAATTGGGGTGCATGAGGTAAGATTCACAAAGAACCAATAAAAGTAAAAAAATACAAATAAAAAGGAGGCTGGACTTGAATATTGATCTAGACACCATTAAATAAATTTGGGGACTTACCAACATTAAGGCAGATTGGTTAAATGTTCATTTAGAACCACTTAGGATTGGTTTGCCTGCATAATATGGGCAGTGTCTTCATATATACTCCTAACCAGTATCTAGATGAAAATGTTACTTGCTAGGTATGAGGGTGCACATCTTTAATCTCAAGAATCAGGAGGCAGAAGTAGGCAGATTTCTGTGGATGTGAGGCCAGTCTGGTTTATATAAATAGTTATAGGCCTGTCCTGCCAGGGGAACATAGTGAGAATTGTCTTTGAAAGAAAAAGAAAAATAAAACCTTTTAGTTCAATGCCAATTAAGTAATTGGTTTTGTTGTTGTTGCTCTTGTTCTTGTTGGTGTATGTGTGTGTATGTGTATGTGTTTCTAATTACAGTGGATTTATATAGTTTTGTTTGTTTGTTTGCTTTTGATTTTGGTTCTCATACAGCTCAAGCCAGTCTTGAATTCTCTAAATAGCTCAGAATGGCCTTGAACTTTGTGGACGCTCTCACCTCTACCTCCCCAGTGCTAGGACTGGAGATACGTGTCACTATACCTGGTTAGTTTAGTGGTACTGGGGATCAAGCCCAGTGCTTCATGCAAGCCCTCTACCAACGGAGCCTCTCCCTCAGCCCTAAAACATTCTTCTTTTAGGTTCTCTTTTGCTCAATAAAAAACATTCGTTAAACAGTTGGCCTGAGTTAGGGTGCATGCTATAATTAAGGAAGCCGGCAGAGATAAATGAGCCCCAGCTGGAACAAAACGTATGACCTCACTAACAAAGAGTTCCAAGCAACTGACCCAGGGATAATAAGGGTATATTTCTCAGAACTTGCTTTTCTCCCCTTTCCACAAGTGTTTTCTCCTTAGTCACTAAAGTATGAAGACACTTTATTCTCTCTAGACTTCCAGTAGAACTCTTTGTGCCAGGAGAAGACATTCCAGCCTGTATGCTATAACTAGTAAATAATGAAATGGCCATCAGGAAGTTGAAGTATTGGGGCCTCATACCAGGAATGTAGAAGTGTCTTTGGATGAAAGTCACACCAGGGCTATGAGAGTGGGGAGTGTCTGGCAAGTAGCATCACACCAGGAGTCTGAAGCACAGGTCCTTATCTGAGAGCTTTTTGTTGGTCAAATTGCATATGCTGAAAACAGGCATGCATTTTCTAAAAAATGTAAATTTATGGAGATTGTAGGTAATCTTTTTCCTCCCAGAAAATGAATACTTTCTTTGTACAGTTCTCATGACACAGGTCAACAATGAAGCTTGTCAAAGAAAAGTCCTAAGACATTCCTTGCTTTTGAAACCCACCAAGTACTTTTTAGAGTTAGTAAAGTCTGTTTGGGAAATCACCTGTAAGCTGTGTGCAGTGGGGTCCGACTTGAATCTCAGCTTTTGGGAGATAGGGGCAGGAGGACTTGGAGTTCAAGGTCACTGTCAACTACATGTCTTGTTTAAGGTTTGAGGCTATCCTGGACTAAATGAGACCCCTGTCTCAAAATATCAAACAAGCCAGCAAGATTGCCAGCTGGTAAGGACTCTTGTCACCAAGCCTGGTGACTTCTACATAGTGGAAGGAGCAAACTCACTCCTGATGATGGCTCGTGTTCACACACACACATACACACACACCACATACACATAAATACACATACAAATGAAGCAACAAACTGACTTCTATTTTAAATGAATCATTAAGTGACAGGCTCATATAAAGTGAGGAAACAGAGATGAGAGAACAGAACACAATTGCAGTTTGTAGTATTCGCAGCTGCCTAAGACTGTTGATGCCATTTGTTTTTCTCCCAGCAACCTGCATAGCATATCCTTAAGCTGTGAAAGCTAGCCAGCAGGGAGGGAGCATCCAGCTGCATCCCAGCCTCCTCACTCTACATCTTGCAACAAAGGTGTGTGATGTCTTCAGCACCAGAGACCTCATATCTTTTAAAACTACAAATAACTCTTCACATAATCATTGTCTAATGTGTTTACAGTGGGAGAAGTATGCACAGGATTAAATATGAAAAGAGATGGTAGGAAATTAAAAAACTTCCTCCCTCCCTCCCTCCCTCCTTCCCTTCCCTTCCCTCCCCTTCCCTGATCCTTGCTATATGAACCAGGCTAGCTTAAAAATAGGTGGCTTTGTTTATTTATTTGTTTTCTCATGTTTACTTATGACAAATATTCCCCAATTTCATCTGGCCAGAAGTTCTTTGAGAAATGTTGAAGGTCTCTCTAACAAGCCCAAACATTGCAAACATGTTGCTGGCAGGGCCCTCCTCCTTTCCCTCTTCCTTGCTAGACCATTAGATTTAGCCAGCCCCCAAGGTCTATTCCCTTATTTGGCAACTTCTTTATGCCTGACCAAAAGTCCAGGGTCCAATTATCAAAACACCAACGTCCAGAAATTAAAATTCATTATTTGGCTACACTGGCTAACCTGTTCAATCAGGTTTGAGGATATTCTGGACTAAATGAGACCCCTGTCTCATTTTATTTATTTATTTATTTATTTATTTATTTACTTACTTACTTATTGGTTTTTCAAGACAGAGTTTCTCTGTGTAGCCCTGGCTGTCCAGGAACTCACTCTGTAGACCAGGCTGGCCTTGAACTCAGAAATCCGCCTGCCTCTGTCTCCCAAGTGCTGGGATTAAAGGCATGCACCACAACAGCCTGGAGAGACCCCTGTCTCAAAATAGGCCACTTATCCACTTACCCTAGCACAGACTTCCCCCCCTTTTCCTTAAAACCCACTCCTGCAAAAGTACCTGCTGCTGTCTTTGTCGGATTCAGAGGCAAACCCCCTTCCCATCCCATCACGCTTGTTCCTTCAGAGTAATAATTCTCCTTTGTGCTCAGAACTTGGTGACTGAGTATGCTCTGTGCTGACTCCTAGGTTCCTTCAGATACCATCAGCCTTAGCCAACCGGAGACAAGAATCATCTGACTCCCACATCTGGCAAAATGGCCCCACAGATAGCATAGGTTTTACACTGACCATTAAACTTTCCTGTGACTTTATCAGTCTTGGCCACATCCCTTTGGATAGATGCATGATCCTTGGCACCAGTGATAAGGTTGGTTGAAGCTTGTAGAGGTCCAGGAACTTGCTGGGGTCATTCTTCATGTTGAGGCTGTGCCTCCTTCTTCAAGGTTCAGGGTGAATAAAAATAGTGTTTTGAAATAGTAAAATGATGATTTTTGTTTCTTGCTCAGTTTACCGTAC